TTGTTTTTATAAAAGTGACACAAACTGTAAATATATTTTTATCGTAATGCGGATTACGGGTGAACTTTTACTTGTAGTGTTTTCTGTTTATTTTTAAGGAACAATTTTTTTTTTATTAATTGGGGACAAAGTTTCTCCCTTGACCTCTGACCTCTTGGTATTAAAACCTAAATTACTTGGATATCACAAGGTAAAGTCACCCTCTTAGCTTGAAGTAATAAGACTGCATATTACTGTGTTATTATCTGCACGTATACATACCTACAGACAGACAGGAGCCACCTCGTCGCTATTTGTCAGGGTCCACGTGTACGCGGGTTTAAAGACAGCTCATTGGTTCATGTTCATCTTGTTGTCAGGTGGTATCCGTCCTGGTCTTAGGTCAGGTTATTTTGAGTAAAGTTTGTTAGGTTAAGTTAGGTGAAAGTTTACTATGTGACGGGAGAGTTACGTTTGTGACTGAAACCTGCGGCCCTTATGGTGGGTGAGGAGCAGTCATGGTGGGTGAGGAGCAGTCATGGTGGGTGAGGAGCTGTCATGGTGGGTGAGGAGCTGTCATGGTGGGTGAGGAGCTGTCATGGTGGGTGAGGAGCTGTCGTGGTGGGTGAGGCAATCAGTGGGTGAGGAGCAGTTATAGTAGGTGAGAACAGTCAAGGTGGGTGAGAGCAGTCATGGTGGGTGAGGAGCTGTCATGGTGGGTGAGGCTGTCATGGTGGGTGAGACTGTCATGGTGGAATTGAGCAGTCATGGTGGGTGAGAACAGTCAAGGTGGGTGAGAACAGTCATGGTGGGTGAGAACAGTTAGAGTGGATACACACATAGAGCTTAGAAATATCGTCATTACTGTGTTATAAAGTCAGTGACAGGTTGATGAATGAGGAACAAAAATGAAGTATAAATATATTGGTTGGTCAGTGTTGATTTAAGACATATTTTCCTGTTGTCTTTGTGTGTGTGTGTGTGTGTGTGTGTGTGTGTGTGTGTGTGTGTGTGTGTAAGACACTGGAGGGGAAAAACCTTTTGAATGTTACAGCGAGATTTTTGCAACATGTTATGCAAGGTAAAGTGGCGGCTTGTAAGAAGTGGACAGTCATACAACACTGAAAGACGGACTCTCTCTCTCTCTCTCTCTCTGTGTGTGTGTGTGTGTGTGTGTGTGTGTAAAGAAAGAGAGAGAGAGAGTTGTAATCCATTATATACAAGGCAGACGAGAGACGTGTACTGAGTGAGGGAGGTTGGCCCTCACGGAGGCACTCAGTGCCGTGGTCCTTGGTGGAGCGTGGCGAAGGTTTCTTAAGAAAACTGTTGTGTTGAGTCGCCGCGCTGCACGGGACCAGCACAATGGGATTATTGAGCCACGTTTTTTCAGACGCTGGGGAAAACTGCGCTGAGGCTTGCTGAAAATTTTTGATACAGGGAGTCTGCCGGTGTTGAGTAGCTTTGGTCGTGATCTCGAGGAGTGGAAGAGCTTGGCGCAGCATGGCGTGAGAGGGCGGCACTGCTGGCAGGTACAGTAGGTCATCACGGTACACCTCTCGCACCTTGGCACTGCTCATCAGCGGACACTCAGTAGCTTGTAGTTCACCAGCTGAGCTTCCCATAACCCTTGGTGCTTCACGGACGTAGCCATAAGCCGGTGAGTCATCAGTGGACGTCCTGGGCTGTTGAGGGTTAGTAGTTAAGGATTATAGTCTTAGCCTGGACAACTGATGGAGACAAGAGCTGCTGTATAACCTACTTTGCATCTCCCCAGCATCACAGTCACAGCCTAAACGTCTCTTCCCTTCGGTGGGAACGCTGCAGGAATCAGTCTAGACATCTCCGCAGCCACTAAGACCCACTGGTCTCCAAGGACTCCGCCATTGCCTGTCGCTGAACTCTCCAGCAATAGAAAGTCTCTCTGTGGGAAAATATACAAATATCTGCATGGCGGTCATACAGACAGTGTTGTGGTAGACACCCAGCCGTCACATGTCACCCTGTGGTAGCAGCAGCAGTAAATCTCGCCGTGTTACCACGACCTGTGTATTCAACTCCTTTGTGTATGTTACGTGGTTGAGTTCCTCTGGCTGAATGTTAACAATGCCATCGCTAAATCCTACAGTCTCCCTCTCACGTTTTTTTTTATTTGGGTGTAAGACTAATTCTCTTTGAGATGATGAAGAAATACTTTTCTCTGCTATCCATTACAATTTCCGGGTGAGTTTTCTTGGGCGTAGATCAAAGAGTGCGGAGTTTTGTGAGACAACACAGAGCTCGTGGTGGGTGTTGCAGCTGAACTCGTCTGTGATCACATTGTGCACCACCAGATAACAGTTGTGTGGGGCCTTAGTACTGTGTCGCTGAACTAAGAGTAATGTGACGCAAGACTAAACAGGTGTGATGTGCCACAAGATTAAACTGGTGTAATGTGACACAAGATTAAACTGGTGTAATGTGACACAAAACTAAACTGGAGTTATTTGAAACACGCGACTTTATGAACAGTAGTAACGTGACAGATAATAATACTATAAACTGGAGTAGAATGGTGACACACACGAGACTGGAGTCCTATAGCACACAATCCTGACTTGCCCCCATCAGCTGCTTCACCCTACAGTCATAACTCATATACCTTGCATCATCCGGTTTGTTGTTACTGTACGGCCAACTCCCTCAAACCCTCCAAACCCCCACCTCCAAACCCCCCACCCTCTAACCCTCCACCCTCAAACCCTCCACCGTCAAACCCAACAAACCCCCCACCTCCAAACCCCCCACCCTCTAACCCTCCACCCTCAAACCCTCCAATCCCTCTCCCTTGGTTCCATCCTTCCACCTGGCATTCCCCACCTTAGAATCTTCACCTCCAAGTCTCCAAAGACATATCACCTCCAACTTCAAAGACCCCCAAGGAGATGGTTACGTGGGCGACTTCAGAAGATTGCTCCCCCCCCCTCCCCTCCCATCCCATCCTCTTCCACACAAAAAAGAAAAAAATATGAAGAATTTTTTCTAGGTATATCAAGAGTCTGGAGAATAGGCGGGTTGTGTGTGTGTGTGTGTGTGTGTGTGTGTGTGGATGGATATTGTGAAGGTGGATGTAAGTATGTGTGTTTATGGGTCCGAGTGCGTGTAACCTAGATGTGTGGGCGTGGGCGTGGTGAAGTGAGGTTTGTGGGGGTGAGGTGAGGCGTGGGAGAAAAGGGGACTTAAGTAGGCTAGGAGTGGAGTTGGTGGAGAAGACTGTGGGTGGAGTGGTTGGAGGAGGCTAGGTGGTCTGGGGGTGGAGGAGGCTGAGGGTGGAGCAGGTGGAGAATGGTGAGGCGGGAGTGGGTGGAGGGAGGTGAGGGTAGAGTTGATGGAGGAAGGTAAGGGAGGAATGAGTGGTGGAGGATTAAGGAAGGGTGGGTGGAGGAGGCTGGCGGTGAAGGAGGGTGAGGAAGGGGGTGGTGCCTCCTATACTGCAGGAGATATACAAGACGGAGGTTCTGCCGCTGACAGTCATGCCGCCGCTTACGCTGCTCAACGAGTCTTGGCTCTCCAGGGGTGATGTACGGCCCTCTCACCCACTCCACTCTCCCCCCTCTCACCCACACCACCCTCCTCCTCTCACCCACACCACCCTCCCCCTCACACCTACATCACCCTGCCTCTGTTTTCATTCTACCTTCACCTTGGCCCACATATCACTGAATAACACTAAGGCTCCATGTGTCATTGATCAACACATAGGCTCCACGTGTCCTGGTCAACGCTTGAGGCTCCACATGTCATTGGTCAACACTGAGGCTCTACATGTCACTGGTCAACGCTGAGGCTCCCATCATCACAAAGGCACCGCAGTGAGCCGGTTTAGAAGGTTAAGGCCGGATACTTTGCTGAGCTGGTGTGATAACCATCATGGATGTGTGGCCTCTCCCGCCCGCTTGTCTACGGCTTCACACACACACACACCTAACATTTATTTTTATATGGCCTGTGTAATAATAATAATAATAATAATAATAATTAACGGTTTATTGAGAAAGTTCTGCAGCCCGAAAGCTGAAATTATACATTGGGCAAAAATGACTTATTACATACAAAAACATGGGGTCGTTTAACAAAAGCTTTCATAACTAAAAAGAGAAGGAACATGAATTGAACATACAAATTATTATAGTTTACAGTTGTGTGTGTGTGTTCATTACGTTGGAGGTTATTAAACATTCTGGCCTCTATTAAGAAATTTAAAGAAGCATTTCAAAGTGTTTTCCGATGTATTGGAATAAATCTTTCTTGCGTCAGCAAAGGTTTCTAAAGTCTTAGCCAGAAAAAAATATATACATTTTTTTTAGACAAAAACTGTATTTGTTTGTGTATTTGTCACTTTTAGGACCACCGTACCAGTCACGCAAGGAAAAAAACATAATGATGGCGGGGAATTACTAAGTCACTTCCCCTCGACCAGACAAAGTGCGACGTGTGAGTTTGTCTCGCGTCATTACTGCTGGAGGAGAGACTCAGCTCCTCTGCTTCCCCCGGGCACGAGGGCACGCTGAAACATGGCCACATTTGTAACATGTGCGTCGAAAATATGAAGACCGTGTCGGCTCCCAGATCGAGGAGACGCTGTCGTTTACGAGGCAAAAACTTGTTTCGACTGGCATCAGATTGTGGCATGAAGTGCATGTTGTAGTATATGAATCTTGCCCCAGTGAGGTGATGGGTCGGGCTGGCTGGCGGCCCCGACCACACGAGGAACCCGCCCTAATGTGAAGCTTTATGATGGTATTAGTGTCTCCCTCCCTCCACCCCCTGCTGTTATCACCTCCTGTTTCTACCACCACTCGCCCCCTCTGCCCCCTCTCTCACTACCACCACACTGCAACCACCCTTCCCCTGCGTGCCTCAGTCACTTCCACCACACTACACCCGCCCCTCCCTCCCTCCTTTATTACCACCACACTACAATCACCCCCCCTCCCTCCCTCCCTCCGTTACTACCACCACACTACCTCTGCCCGCGTGCCAACATGGACGACTTGTTGTCTTGTGTATGTTCGGTAGTAACTCTTCCTACTCCCTCACTTCCTCATCACCACCATTACCTTCTTCTCACCCTCCTCTCCTACCAATGTCCCTCACTTCCTCATCACCATCATTACCTTCTTCTCACCCTCCTCTCCTACCAATGTCCCTCACTTCCTCCTTTGTTACCACTATTGCTTTTTCTCACCCTCCTCTCCTACCAATGTCCCTCACTTCCTCCTTTGTTACCACTATATGCTTTTTTCAACCTCCTTCCTTTCCATACCATCTTCCTTACCCTTCCCTTCCCCATTCCTTTCCTCAACACCCTCCTTCCCTTTCCCCCTGCCCTTCTCTTACATTGACCACCACCACTTGGTTTGACACGCTCGTAGTATATGGTGCCAGTACAGTGCCTCACGCAGCAACATGACACAGGAGGGGGACACAGGTGGTATGGTGCACCTCAAGAAACACACTGAACACCACCACCTAATATAAGAGTTATGAGTGTCAGTCACATCCACGTCATCCTGAGCCTGTGTTACTCAGTCTTCCATCAGGTAACCATAATTGTGTTGTGTTCTCCCTATTTTGCAAGTTGCCTTTTGAGTCCATAGTTGAGCAACTCCTCATTCTAACCTGTTACTTGGGTTGTAAAATACCAGTGATTCATGTCATCAGTGGCCGGGTCATGTGTGAGGAGGCAGCAGGTTGTTATACAGTTACCCCCTACTTAAGCCAACCTAACAGTGCATTAGTCAACATGTTTATAAGGTTGAGCTGGAGTGATGTTGTCCGCTTTTGTTTTTATGAGATGATTTAGTTCCGTAAGAAATTATCTAGTAGGATTTAGTTTATAGGGGGTTAACAGCCGGCCGGGTTGAGGGAGTAACCGAAGCAGGACGTCTACCAGCAACTGATCTCCGCTACCAGGAGTTGGGGTAATGGTGTAGTGGTGTGAGTCGTGATGGAGCGGTGAGGTGTGTGTTGCTGGCTCTGCTTCACCCTCACCATCTTTACCTGGACGCGTTATCTACCTGATCGTGAGTGTTTGTATGGCTGTCTGTCATCCTACCAGGGGGTGGAGAGGGGAGGGTTAAGGGTAATTTCGAGTGAGGGGTAGGAGAGGTAAGGGGGTGAGTGAGGGGAAGAGGAGTGATGGGGAGAGAAATCTTCTGTGACTGTCCTACCATCGGTCAATCGCGAAGATAATTCCTGTCGCTTCTTCTGCTTCTCCACGAACCCCGAGATTCACACTCATGAATCCGAAGCATTAATGAACAGGATAATACATCAATGTCTACTGCTTCGGGTTCACGAGTCTTAATCTAGGGGTTCTTGGTTTAGCAGGAGAGGCGACGGGAATTTTCTTAGCGACTGTACATGACTCCATCTATAGGCTCCGTCAAGCGTGAGATTCTGGTGAAGTTGTTGGGGGCATTCAGGGTCGACTGTGTACGATAGGGCGGCTGAGACGACACACGGGGAGGGTGGAGGAGGGGGACACAACATACAGGGTGGGTGAGAGGGTGGAGGAGGGTGACACAATATACAGGATGGGTGTAGAGGGTGGAGGAGGGTGACTATCAGTGAACATTAAGGTGTGTGTGTGTGTGTGTGTGTGTGTGTGTAATAATAATAATAATAATAATTAACGGTTTATTGAAAGAGCTTGTGTGTGTGTGTGTGTGTGTGTGTGTGTGTGTGTGTGTGTGTGTGTGTGTGTGTGTGTGTGTGTGTATAGATCCCCTAGTTCTGTTGTCACTCACTTCACATTTGTATACACTCCCTGTTTGCACTTAACCTAACCTAACCTAAGCTATAAGATCAAGGGAGGAAGGGTTACCATATTTAAGTAAGGAATATGAAATAGGTCCACGAGAGAGAGAGAGAGAGAGAGAGAGAGAGAGAGAGAGAGAGAGAGAGGCTCGTTACCTTACCTCACAGTGGCAGGTACACCCCCCTGCGCCACCATCCTTGTTAAAAGTGCTGCTTAATTATTAACATAACAAAAGCTCCCGTGTACAAATGCTCTCTTATTTAAACTTCTCTTAATTATATATAAAAATTCCCTCGGTATTTATCTTCCTTTTGTCTTTTATTTTAATTCCCAAGTTATTAAAATGATTATAATATACATTCCTGTTGGTTATAGGTTTATATTATTTAAATGCCTGTGCTATTAAATGTGTGTATATATTTTTAAATCCTTTGTTCAAATGTCTATATAATGTCTATATCAACTTCAGTATTATATTCCTATATTATGCGAACTCTACCGGTGTATAAATGTATATATGTGTTAAATAAATACCTTGAATTATTATTATACAATGTATCACCTGTATTTAAACTACAACTGATATGTTTGTAATGTATAAACTTTTGTATTATTATATTTCTTTATTTCTTTAATGTTTTATGTTACTCTGTTGTATTGTTTTAGTATTTTTTTTTCAATTACAGAAGTACTATTTACCCTCCCTCCCTTCTGAGTTATAATTTTGTTTTTTGTTTCCGGTTATTTATTTTTTATTTACTTATTTATTTATTTATTTATTTTGTCCTGGAGTAGTTTTTTTTTTGTTTTATGATATTTTTGTATTTTGGTGACATAGGCTATTTTTTGTACTTTTTTGTTTTCGCGCTATTTTTGTACACTTGTTTTGTTGTCTCCATGCTATTTTATGTATCATGTTGTTTTGTCCACGCTATTTTATGTACTTTTTTGTCTCATTACTTTTTGTTTTTAATATATTCAAGAAACGTTTTTGTTTTTGTCTTCAGTGTATTTTTTGCGCTCTCTCTCTCTCTCTCTCTCTCTCTCTCTCTCTCTCTCTCTCTCTCTCTCTCTCTTCACTAGATTTTTTTGGGCATCTTTTCATGATTTTTTTGGATCCTTTGTTCTGTTAAGGTAATTTTTATCTCCACACTCCTCTTTATGTCTTTACGTTGTGTTTCTCTCTTTGTTCTTTTTTTCGTCTTTTCTCGGTCATATTTGTCTCTTATCTCCCCTTTTTTTGTCTCCTCTTGAGCCTCCTTTAGTTACGTTTCTTTACATACACATTACGGAAGTTGAAAGTTAACGTGTGTTGGCTAAGATAACTGGGTAAGATGGTTATGTAAAGATGATAAAGTGATTCCTTTTTGGTGTTATTATTATTGTTGTTTTAGTGTTACTTGTATTAGTGTTGTATTATTAATATTATTGTGGTTATCATCATCATTATTATTATTATTAAAAGATGCTCGATGTATTTATACAGACGACAATGTCTCCATAAGTAACGGTAGAGGGAGAGGCGGGTGTAGGTGGGCCAAGGTGGGCGGCCTAGCATCCACCTGGCGTTTGTCTGGCGTCAATTCCGGGAGCTTCACGTACTTCCATGACTCATGTCTCGTTGACCAAGCTTCCCGGGTGACAATCTGATAAGTCAGATTATTACTGGCCGCCGCCTGCTATTAATCTTCCTTCCTACAGTGCACCTGCTGTGTACTGCTGAGGGTGCTGCTGTGTCAGCTCTGTGGGCGGGAGGCAAGTGAATTGTGAAGGAGGGGGGAGGTGCCCTGGGAGGTAGTGGGAGGGTCAGTGATGGGGAGGGGGAGGTCTTATCTGAGTCAGGGGTTCAGGTGGTGGTAGTGGTGGTGGAGTACCTGTACTTACTTACTTACTTACGTACTTACTTACTTACTTACTTACTTACTTACTTACTTACTTACTTACTTACTTACTTACCTAATTACTTACTTACTGTGTGCCCATCTTATTTTTATATATAATATAAGCGTAGACCATTTACTGCCTCCTAGTTGACTAGTCATTTGATAAGACACTTGTTCTACATAGAATAACAATAATCATTCTTATTAGTTACGTGTTGTACACTCGGTGGTGCATCAGGGCCAGGGTGTACAGTACGTCACCCCCCCTCCCCCCGCCAGGTATTCTCCGTCGTCCTCAGCCCCTCCTCCCCACGCTCCTCCCCACATATTTTACTCTTGTATATACGTTTAATATGAAAAACTGACACCGTGTTATTTAACCCCCACCCCTCTCCTCTACCCACCCCTCCACTCTACCCACCCCTCCACTCTACCCAACCTCCCCCTCTCCCATCGCCCCCACCACCCCCTTACCCCACACCTCCCACGTCCCCGGCGGCCGGTGCCTCGCTCACTGCCTCATGTCTTAATTAACCTAAGTAAGGGACGCCCCCCCCCTACCCACTGCTGCTCCAGGTATTTTGTTTCCTTCGCCCTTTAACCTCTCTCCAGTGTTATCTCCGTTCCTCTGTGTCTCTCATTCTTTACCTCTCGTCTCTCTCTCTCTCTCCACCATTTTTATCATACTTCTCAGGCGTCCCTCATCTTAGTTACCCCACCACCAGTCTCCCTCTCTCTCTCACCTGCATTTTCTTTGGTTCTTACTGTCTCCCCTTTTCCCTTTACTCTCTCCATCATCGTTATCACATGGTTTTTGCTCTCCCTCTCCCAAAACTTTCCTCAGCTCTCCCTTCACTATTGTTGCTTCACTATCATCTGTCCTCCTGTTTCTCCCTCTCACCTGTTATTGTCCTCCTCTTCCTTCTTCTCCTCTTGTCATCGTCATCCATGTCCCTTCCACAGTCTACGCCCCACTTCTATCACATCTCTCTTCCCCCATTCCAGTCTGTCCCATTTTTTTCTCTCCCATCTCCGATCCTCTGTCAACCTTCCCTTGTTATCTCTCTTAGCGGGCCCTTCCCCTGTTCCAGATTATCCTCCTTCCTTTCTCATTCCCGTCTTCCTATTTACGTCTTAACTGTCTCTCTCTCTGTAACATCCTTTCATTCTTATTATTGCTTTATTCCTATTCCTGTTTTATTTCCTTGTTCTTGTTTATGTCAGTCCTTTCATATTTTCTGTCTTCCCTTTAATTACTTATCTTTGTGTATTGTATAGTTATTTTTATCTTTGTGCTTCCTTCTTCCCATCCTTATCCACCCTTTCTATCTCTTGTTTCTTTTGATCGTCTTTTCTCGCTTTTTCTCCTCCCCCCTCTCCTTGTTCCTCTCATGCCGCCTCTTTTTACTCTTACTTCTTGTTCCTCACTCCTGTCTCTTCTTCCTCCTCTTCTTGTTTCTCTTTGCCGTCTCCTCTTTTCATCGTCTCGTATGTATCTCTGTGTTGTGTGTATATCATGTAAGCCTTCCTGGAACACACAGCCCTTACACACACACACACACACACAGCCACACACACACACACACACACACACACACACACACACACACACACACACACACACACACACACACACAGCACACACACACACACAGCACACACACACACACACACACACCTCCCTACATATAGTTGAGTCATCCCCACTCACGATGAATAAACGTTCCTCGCCTTTGGGAGACGAAAGTGCTCCTTAATATTCTCTCACTTAATATAGGTCCTCTGTTAGCGCTCCAGTGTTGACTAGTGCTGGAGTTGTTGCTTCAGGTTGCGCTCAAGCGGTGTCTCTCTCACACTTTAAATTCCCTGCCGCAGCTTCTGTACCTTGCCTGGAGTGTTCTTAAACCTCTTTGAATACAATGACGTAACTAACTCCCTTAATGCAATGACGAAACTCCATGAGTACAGTGTCATTTTACTCAAGGGTTAAGGCATTGTACTCAAGGCATTAAGTTCACTGTACTCAGGGATCGTATTCAAGGATATACTCGTAAATCATTGTAGTTAAGGAGTTAATGTATCGTACTCGAGGGGTTAATGTAAGTTATGTTTTTTGTATGTTACCTCGACGAATACTTGGACCAGTATATTTTGTTTTATTGTCCGTTCTTGTGTTTGTCTGTGTGTTTGTCCGTCATACTTCGATTTCTGTGTAATTAGACGAGTCTTTAATAAACTGAGTATACGACTTTGTCTTCCTTTATAGATAACAGTTGATTAAAGGTCAGAGGTGAGGGGGGGGGGGTGCGGTGGTTGGGTGGATTATGGGTCATTTGCTTACAGCCGGGTACCCCCAGTCGACCCATCTGTGAGTAGGTACCTGAGTTAAGTTGAGGAATTGAAGGTGATTGACTGTATTGTCGGCCATATTGTCTCCTTGTATCACCTAACCTAACCTCTATATCTGACGTAACTGCAGTGCGTTATGTCACTTTTCAAATTTACAAAGGTTCTTACGTTACGATTTATATTTCCCGTAATTTACATCTTATTTACCTTATTTACTTAATGGCCACACACTAGAAGTGGCCATGCCGAGGGATAGATTCACTTAAAACCAGAATTAATTAAGGTGAGTTTTTTTTTCAACACCTGTACGTTACTTTTGTCTTCCGGCTGGAGGTACAAAGATCGCAGGAACCTATAAGCATTCGGACTCTGGTCTGCTTTAAGCTTTAGACCCTCTTTACACATTAAAGGTTTGTGCATTTCAGCTTATTTTTTTCTCCTAAGTATTATAGTGACTCCTAGATGAGACATAACTAGTTCGAAATGACGTAGCCTGATAGCTCAGTTTTATTCATTAAAATAGTCATACAATTCTACATAGATTCAGAATGTGTATGTAGACAATGCCGGTATACAATGAAGCGTGTGAATTGATAATGCAAGTATACAATATAGAAGTAAACAATGTACCTAGACAATGCAGGTATATAAACAATGGTAAACAATAAGGCAAGAGGAACAAGGTTAGTCAATACAGCCATCAGATATTTATTTCCACGGCAGGCTTGTTGTGGGTGTGTGCTGAGCTGAACCACGCCCACCTCTCCACATGTTTTGGGTGTAGTGGTTCAGTTGGTGCATTCTGGTGAAACTTTTAATGTCTCTTCTCTTCTCACTGCCTGGTCTCAACACTCAGTATTTATCAAATAAAGTTTTTAACTCATAAATTATAACTTATGAGTCTCTGCTTGCCATGTTGTAGACGTACTGTACTGTACTGTCATGACACACTGTTACTACACAATGTCAGTAAAGAAAACATTACAGTAAGAAGGTAACGACCATACCTTCCTGTTACTCTCACACAACAGAGAAAACTCCTTCAGACAGTGTCCCAATGACTCGGTGAACCCTAGTCTCTCAGTCAGTCGAGGTTGACCATTAATGCAAAGTTTAAATAAAATTGTCTTGAAGCTTTTGGTCGTGTTTGAAGACTCTCTCTCTTATTACTAAACGGCACCTCACAGGGTCACTATTTAATAGCAATATAATTAACTGTGTAAGGTTAATATTGATGGTATTGATGATACAAAATATTGATGGAATCTGAATTCATGAGTTTCAAATTATTTCTAATATTGCCAGTAAATATTGACCGTGTGAGGCTAATATTGTCCAGTATAGCAATGAGCGTCCTCCTCCTCCTGTCATATGAAGTAATGTTTGGTCCTGTAAACGTCTCCTAATAAGGTCGTGAGCCCCAAAGTTTCCTCTATCCACATTCTTACATTATTCCGGAGAACGTGAAGGTTAAGGGTGAATGTGTCTTGTGGTCTCTTAAGTGTACTATAATAGCTCTCAAGTGTTGTGTTGACGTAACGCGGTAACAGTTATGGTTGTTACTCCTACAGGAAGGTGTACGCGGTGTGCTGGAGGGTCTGGCCTCACGCTACGCTGACGAGTTCAGTACCCACTACCAAGACGTATTCGACCACCTCGACAACCTACGCATGGAGGCCTGGACGCAGCTCATCAACCGCGTCAAAAACCCCATACTGACGGAGGAGACGGTGCCCCGCCCCGCCTCCCCCGCCCGCTCCTTGCAGCACGAGCTACACCACCTCCCCCACAACGACGATGACCAGGGTGATGGGGCAGGGTCGTCCCCCTCACAGCCGAGACAACATAGCTCCTCACATACTTCCTCGCACTCGTCTTCCCCGGAGCACCGCGGCTACGATGACCAACCCATCTACGTTCCTGGCAGATACAACGTGAGTACTCCCATCCGCTGTCTTATACCACCCTGGTGCTCTTGCCTCACATCCCTGGGAACTCCCGCCCGCAGAAATATTCACAGGACTCCTCGTTCACGTCCGGGGGAGATTCCGAGAGCGTATATCCTTTGAAAAAAAATTTTGTTAGCTGGCCGGGGCCTCTGTTTGTGGGGCCTCCCTCGCCACCTACATTACCTTCCTGGAGTTTGGTTCTTAGGGTGATGCCGAGTGTGTTGTGTAAGTGTGTGAACATTTATATTACTAATTGTAAAGGTGCCACGCGAGGCTGTCTGTCTGTCTGGCTTGGCTCGGGGCAGGCTGGCGGGCTGGCTATCCTAGTGAGCTCCAGTTTTAAGATATTGATTCCCTGTCAAGTGCTTACGGAATGTGTTACCAGGACGGGGGGTGGGGGTGAGGCCTCCCAGATCACGAAGCAGCACAGAGCGTCATAAACACTCCTGACCACGGTACAGGGGCGTCGTGAACACCCTTGACCAACACCCGCTCTTAAGACCTCCTCTACTGACTTTTCGTCACCCATTATTTGAGTCCCCCAAGCATCCCCCTTCCCGTGTCGGTTTCTGTTTCCATGACAAAAACGTTTTTAATTGGCAGAACAGGTGACGTCCTCTGTCACTCCCTGGTGGGTGTATGTACTCTCTTCCTTCTGATTGGTAGACTTGTGTCATTCCTCCTCCTCCTCTCAGAGAATGTGGCTCAAGCCTGATTTCCTTGTCATTTCAAGATTGCGTCTTTTGTACCTGATTTCCTCCCCTACTGTGTTTTTTATGCATTGTGTCCAGCTTCCACCCGCCACTGGGACCACTGGAAGATTACACGCCCAAGTTTTTTCACCTGTGACTGACCACCCTAACGCAACCTGGGGGGTAGATTAGGTTCGCTTGGGTTAGGCTACGTTAGGTTAGTTTAGGTTAGGGGAGTAGGTTAGGTTATTTTTAGTTAATTTACCGTTTGGGTGGTTAAAATTCAGGTGAAATATGCTGAGGTCTAATCTTGAGGTGATCCAGCCATGGTTCAGTAGGTCAGCGTGAAGGTGAGGTGGTGGTTGTAATGCTGTGTGTCTTGGGGGAGGATTAATTGGTAGTTGGTAATGAGGTGTCGCAGCCGGCCAGGTCACGGCGGTGTGTGTGTGTGTGTGTGTGTGTGTGTGTAAGGCCGTGTTTAGTCGTATCTAAAAATGGAATCAGTTTATCGTGTAATAATATGTCTGTTGTTTGGCCTTGTGCATTGTATGGCTGTGGATGGCTTTGTGGTGTGGCCATGACAAAATGTGTAATTATATGAGTGGCCACAGGTTCATCATAGCCAGCCTGCCTCCCACCACAGTGGCCACAGGTTCATCATGGCCAGTCAATCTCCTGCCACAGTGGCCACAGGTTCATCATGGCCAACCAGCTTCCCGCCACAGTGGCCACAGGTTCATCATGGCCAACCAGCTTCCCGCCACAGTGGCCGCAGGTTCATCATGGCCAGCCTGCTGCCTGACACACATTATTGCCTTCCCGTAATTGACTCCATTGTAGCAAAATTCGACAGCGATCACACAACTAGTTTATGGAATGTCACAATTGGTGGCCCGAGTTGGTAGTTGAAGCTCATATTTAAATACTTTGATGCTCGTGTGTGCTTTTAGCGGACGTGGCCATCAATCCCGCCGCTTATTTGGGAGTCTACCTCACGGATAATGGTGGTGGTGGTGTACCAATATCACACAGATAATGATGATGGTGGTGGTGATGGTGATTAGAAATAGTGGTGTTGGTAAGTAGTAGGTGTCATTATTTTCTTGTCATATCATCACACATGTTTCTGGCAACACATCTAAGTATTGTTTCATTATTTGTTTCGTGCATTTAAATTACTTACTTCGCGAACATCTTATGTATGAGATTAATAAACAATTCCTTCAACATTTGCCAGGCGACGAAATACTAATGCGAATATATAAACATAAACAGTGTCGTGTGTGTGTGTGTGTGTGTCGTGTGTGTGTGTGTGTGTGAGGTAGCAGGTCCACGCTTTTGTTTACCTTCCACTCACCACCCACCAGCCAGGGTCGACGCGCCACCTATGAATGAAACTCGGCTACCAAACACCGTAGACTCCCTCATAGTTTCTCTACTTGGGTGAAATCTGTAATGAGATGTGAAGGGTCAGACTTGGGAGGTTCAGTGACACCCACCACCCTGCCCTTTTTGGTCACCTACCCTCCTCTCTCACGCTGACCCACACTCCTCGTCTTTAAATATTCATATGTTAATTTTGTCTTCGTGTGTGTGTGTGTGTGTGAGAGAGAGAGAGAGAGGGAGAGAGAGAGAGAGAGAGAGAGAGAGAGAGAGAGAGAGAGCGTCATCTCAGGGTATATCTTCAACGCTGTTTTGGCCGCCACCTCCTTACCTCTCAACTTAATTGAGCCAGTGAGGTGTGTTTTCTCATTGCTGTTAATGGGAGAATTTTACCTGGGAACCTCTCGAGTCTCACAATATTTATAATGATTTAGGAGGGACATTGATGGCTGGTGGCGCGGTTAAGGAAGGAACTCCACGCCGTAAGATTTATGCCATTAATGGTTATAAGGTTTCCAGGTGTTTATATCTGGAACATGATCGTCTTGGAGGGAGGATTTAATTACTGAGGTGTATGCGTACGTGCGTGTGTCGTATGCGTGTGGGGGCAGGCATAGCGTATCGTAAAAGTACATCGAGGAAGACCCAAACCTTCTTCTGTGTTTCAGTAAGACATCATAGTTGGCGCCTCACATGACCCTCACCCCCAGGGCCGTCCTTCACTCCCCTGCACCAGCTGATTGACGTGATGGATGGCCTGAATCAGCGGGTGAGCGACGTGTGGTAACAAGGACTGAGTGTCATGACAAACTGCTTCTGCTCCAAGTGGCTCAAGTGTGGTCTCAGTTTTTGTCCTCGAAAGTTTTCTCGTTGGGGGAGTTTATGACGTACGCTTAGTCATCCTCCTCTCCTCCCATCCCCCTAGACACGCCTTCACTGATCTAACTGGTTGAATGTTTCTCACTTGAGGGACTGGTTTATTTCCCAGTAGTGTTTTAACCCAATGATAAAAAACTCTCAGTGGGAAAAAAAAGTTGCGTTGTTTTTCTTTCTTTTTCAACCGTCAAAGTGAGGCAGTACCTGTAGTTAGTTCATCCTGGGCCAGGTACAGAGGGGGTTGTGGCAGGTACAGGGGGAGGGGTTGTGGCCAGGAATAGATGGGGGTTGTGGTCAGGTACAGAGAGAGGGGTTGTGGCCAGGTATAGATGGGGGTTGTGGCCAGGTATAGATGAGGGTTGTGGCCAGGTACAGAGGGGGAAGTGGTTGTGGCCAAGTATAGAGGGAGAGGAGGTTGTGGCCAGGTACAGAGGGAGGGGTTGTGGCCAGGTGGCATGACCCAGCTGGTGGTGGTAAGGTAAGCAGCGCTGCTGGGACGGTAAGCTGCTCCTGCTGGTGGGTGGTGAGCTGCTCCTGCTGGAGGTAAGCTGCTGAGGGTGAGCTACTCCTGCCGGGGTGAGCTGCTCTTGCTGGTGGTCTTCCTGCTGGGGGGTGAGCTACTCCTGCTGGTGGCTACTCCTGCTGGGTGAGCTACTCCTGCTGCTGGGTGAGCTACTCCTGCTGGGGGTGAGCCAGCTGGTGGTGAGCTACCCCTGCTGGGGTGAGCTACTCCTGCTGGTGGTGAGCTGCTACTGCTGGGGGTGAGCTACTCCTGCCGGGGGTGAGCTGCTCTTGCTGGTGGGCTACTCCTGCTGGGGTGAGCCACTCCTGCTGGGGGAGCCACTCCTGCTGGGGTGAGCCTCCTGCCGGGGGTGAGCTGCTCCTGCTGGGGTGAGCTGCTACTGCTGGGGGGGTGGTGAGCTACTCCTGCTGGGGTGACTGCTCTCCTGGGGGGTGAGCTACTCCTGCTGGGGGTGAGCTCTGCTCTGGGTGCTGAGCTGCTCCTGCTGGGGGTGAGCTACTCCTGCTGGGGGTGAGCTAATCCCTGCTGGGGGTGAGCTAATCCTGCTGGTGGTGAGCTACTCCTGCTGGGGTGAGCTACTCCTGCCGGGGTGAGCTGCTCCTGCTGGGGGTGAGCTACTCTTGCTGGTGGTGAGCTGCTGCTGGGTGAGCTACTCCTGCTGGGGTGAGCTACTCCTGCTGGGGGTGAGCTGCTCCTGCTGGTGGTGAGCCTCCTGCTGGGGGTGAGCTACTCCTGCTGGGGTGAGCTACTCCTGCTGGGGGTGAGCTACTCCTGCTGGGGTGAGCCAGAGCTACTCCTGCAGGGTGTGGGTGAGCTAGCTACCCCTGCTGGTGGTGAGCTGCTCCTGCTGGGGGTGAGCTACCCTGCTGGTGGTGAGCTACTCCTGCTGGGGGTGAGCTACTCTGCCGGGTGAGCTGCTCCTGCTGGGGTAGCTACTCCTGCCGGGGGTGAGCTACTCCTGCCGGGGTGAGCTGCTCTTGCTGCTGTGGTGAGCTGCTCCTGCTGGGGGTGAGCTACTCCTGCTGGGTGGCCACCCTGCTGGGGGTGAGCATCCTGCTGGTGGTGAGCTACTCCTGCTGGGGTGAGCTCTGAGGCTAATCTGCTGGGGGGTGAGCTGCTCCACTGTGGCTGCTGGGGGGTGAGCTACCCTGCTGGGGTGAGCTACTCCTGCTGTGGGGGGGTGAGCTGCTCCTGCTGGGGGTGAGCTAATCCTGGGGGTGAGCTACTCCTGCCGGGGGTGAGCTGCTCCTGCTGGGGGTGAGCTACTCCTGCAGGGGTGAGCTTCCTGCTGGGGTGAGCTACCCTGCTGGGGGGTGAGCCACTCTCCTGCTGGGGTGAGCTTCCTCCCTGCTGGGGTGAGCTACTCCTGCCGGGGGTGAGCTGCCCTGCTGGGGGTGAGCTAATCCTGCTGGTGGTGAGCTACTCCTGCCGGGGGTGAGCTGCTCCTGCTGGGGGTGAGCTAACTGCTGGTGCTGAGCTACTCCTGCTGGGGTGAGCTGCTCCCTGCTGGG